TCAGCTTTTTGCCTCAGTTCTTGGAAAATTCTGAGTATTAGAGATTTGAATTCTCTATGAGGTAGTTCTAGTGCATTTTCTTCCACAGGAGAGTCATCTGGTGTTTTAATTTGGATGCCTACTGGAACCATCCTGTCCTGTTTTTGTAAATTTTTTGATATTGTCTGCTGTTTTTGGGGCATTCAGAAGTTATTTTTCTCATTTATAGATTGTAGATGTGTTTGTTTCATCCCTTTTTAAAAAAAATAATTGACTATATCTAAGCAGGTGGATTGTGTGTTCTATGTTATTTGCTCCTCTGTGTACTCAATACTTTTCGCCTCCTTCTCCAATTGGCAGCATCAGTGACTCAGATATGGTACAGCAGGGCAGGTCTAGCTGAAGAGGAGGTACTGGGATGTGGTGTTTGTGGCACTTACTACAGCCACCAGGGCAGGTCGGTAATCAGTGCAGCGCAGGTTCCAGTAGGCCGTGCCTGTACTGCTTGGTGGTGTGATGTCAAGTGCATGGTGCAGGTAGGCAGGATGCAGCAGGGAGACTGTTATGTGTGGAGCTAAGATGGATATGGGAGAGAGAGGAACAGGAGCCAAAAAACACACAAACAGAAAAGAATGCTAGGAGAGCTTGCCTTTGGAATGGAGAGATGAGAGACTATGAAATGGAGAAAAACAGAAACGGGAAGTAGAAGAAAAGAAAAGAATGAATAAATAAAAATCAGAAAGGTTAAAGAAGTGCAAAGTTCCCAGGGATCCCACCGATGCAGCTATGAGGTCTGGGGAAGTCACTCTCAGGTGTCGCCGTACAGCCTGGCTAGAAGGCGTAGAGGTATACAACGCCTGGTATTCAGGGATCAGAAAGAGAAGGAAGATATAGAGAGATGAGAAACTGAGCAATGAAGAAAGACAAAAAGGGGAAAAGAGGGAAAACAAAACAAAACAAATTAAAAAAAAAAAAAACCAACGTAAAAAGAAATGCACTCAGGGATCCCTCTGCACGTCTGTGGAAGCTGAAGGGGATTTCCTTGCCACGCAGCTCCACCTGGCCAGAAAGGGCTCCCAACTCAAGAAAAGGAAAAGAAAACAAATAAACAATTCAAAATGAACAAAGGAACCAGTATGGTAGCCCAGACCGGGAAGCAGCTCCACACTCGAATGGAGCTCCGCATCCCCTCAGGAAGAAGCAAAGATGGCTCACGGAGCCAGGCACTCGAGTGAAAGGAGGGGGAGGCGGCGAGAGGCAAACAAGAAATCCAAAGAAGCAGAAAAAAAAAACAAAAACACCAGCATCCAACAAATGGCACTCAGAGAGCCAGCGAGTGCGGGCTGGTGTTTCTGGACAAGAGACTGTGTCTGCGGGAAGCAGAGGAGGCCGAGTGTGGGTGAAGAAAGGTAGAGAGTGGGAAAATTTATATTACAAATTGCTGGCACTGTGGAGCCCCTCAGGAAGAAGCAAAGATGGCACAAGGAGCCAGGCACTTGAGTGAAAGGAGGGGGAGGTGGCGAGAGGCAAGTGAGAAATCAAAAGAAGCAG